CCGGGGTGGAAATTAACCCATGTCACTACCGATGAAATCCTTCCTACAAGCAACCTCTAGGGGAATAACTTATACATTAAAATAAGAATTATGACAAGCAATTCTCAATTGGTAAAAGTATTGCGTAATATGGCATGTGCACAAAACACGACTGCCATAAAAGTAAACTAAGAACAGAGAACAGAAGAGCGACGAAAAATATTCCCACTGCTGGATACATGTCTCCCTTGAATACGAAGGGGATCAGGCCATATAGTCCACCACGCTGGCTAAGTGCGGGTTGGCGGACTTCACTTGTCTTTCGAAAACTTGTTAGGTTATCTCAGACATGCAGATTTCCTTCAACGTAAGGCAAGTGGTAATCATATTTCATCCTTATTAACTTATCTTTGAAGTTGACAAAATTACTTAAATATAAATTTTTTTTAATCGTATCAAAGTATAAAATATAAATATTTAAGTTTAATTAGATAGTGTAATTTTCCATACAAATGCTACCCCGTTATGGTTTGTCTAATGAATAGAATTTTGCGAAATATCAAATTGTAAAAAAATGGTTGTATAATAGGTAATTCCGTGGAAGAAATGAACATGGCAATAATATACTAAATTTAAGAAAATTTTAATAAAAGTATACATAACGTTCCTTAATGAATGAGCTATAAATGCAAAAACATATGGTTCTTCTAGAAATTTGCACAATCAAACTAATAAAAATTAAACGAAAACGAAAAGAAAATCAAACTGTACATAAAATATTTTTTAGAAAATCTTATTGAAACAAACATAGACATTATTATGGATACAGAGGCCAAGTCTATAGTTTTTAGATTTTTTGTCTATCTGTCTGTCTGTCTGTTACCGCATCACCGAAAAACCACTTGAGGGATTTTGATGAAATTTGGTATGGTGATGGCTGGTTATCCGGGTCAACATATAGGATACTTTTTACCGCGGAACAATGTCTCATTTCTGAGAAAAAATACAAAAACTGCAATGTAAAAGTATACTAATATGTAAAACCTAAGAATTTGGTTTTTGGTCATCTGAACGCGTGCGGAGCCGGGGGCAATGCTAGTAATATATAATACATAATTATAGTACTTGTAAGAAATATTTGACAATGGTATTATTAGGTTACTTTAACTAGTTCAGTTGAACTTACTTAGTTTCATTAACCTTATGTGGCCAATTAGCAATAAAGACACAGATGGTCTTCCGGTGGAAAGAAAGCGCACTCCACATTTCTCCTTACGTAATTGTTATACTACTTAGGCCTAATATTGCCGAGTTTTTAATTGTCAATAAAAAATACTATCACACGTACGTAATACAATTACAAACACTTGTTGTGTACGTAACCATTTTTTAAGAAATTTAAGGAAACGAAGTTTGATAAGATATATACATTATATATAATACAGACATATTTATGTAATTATCCGAATTATATCTATACATATAATAAAATTCTAAGTCGAATCTGTACATTAAATATTTTTTGGAAAATCTTATTGAAATAGACATTATTATCGATACAGAGTCCGAATCTATAGTTTTTAGAATTTTTGTCTGTCTGTCTGTCTGTCTGTTACCGCACCACAGAAAAAACAGTGGACAGATTTAATGAAATTTGGTATGGTGATAGCTGGTTAGCCGGGTCAACATATAGGATACTTTTTACCGCGGGAAAATATCTTATTTCTGAGAAAAAATACAAAACTGTATTGTAAGAGTATACTAATATGTAAAACCTAAGAATTTGGTTTATGGTCATATGAACGCGGGCGGAGCCGCGGGCAATGCTAGTATATTATAAATGTGAAAGTTTGTGAGTATGGATGTTTGTTACTCTTTCACGACAGAACGGCTGAACGGATCTCTATGATATTTGGCACAGAGATAGATTATAGTCTGGAATAACACATAGGCTATTTTTATGCTAAAATTGTACAGTTCCCGTTAGATAGGTTTGTTATTGTCTTCCACTAGTATAATATATTCTTTCAACCAGTACATACATAATAAAAGATTTTTTTTAATATAAGTACAGAAAAAGTTTAAGTTAACAAGAAAAAAATGTATAGTTAAAATATTTAATAAATTCATCTGTACATTCAAAGTTTATTCAAAATATTATCAATCTATGAACATCGATGTCTTGATTAAACGACAGAAGCAAACTTTTAGTCAGTGATCTTCGTATAATGAACTAAAACTTTCAATCAAAGCAATTATAAACCTTATTAAAGTGACTTTTGTTGTAATTAATTACTTTGTTAAAGTTAAAACCAATGTTTAAGAAACTATATAATTAAACTATATAAATGTGTTGATGGCACAAACAAATCATTCTTGAAAGTGGCACACGCGTATTGGCTAATAATATGAGATTGACAAGTATAATAAATAAGTTATTTGGATGTAGGTATGTACTTTTTACATCCATACTAATATTGATTTTTTATGTGAAGATAGTTGGAGGGCTGGAGAGAGAGAGAGAGAAGATGAAAAAAAAATGGAAGATATAAGAGAGAGCTACTTATTACCGCGGGATATTATCTAATACCCACGGGAAAACACGTCATAATACAATCCAAAAAATATTTATGATCAGAATTACTTGAAACTTGGTATTAATGTTCTTCAATAAAATTAAATAAATACGTGTTTTAGTATTTTTCGTAATTCATCCTACAAGGGCGTTAAATAGGATATGAAAGTTTGTATGAAACTACCCTTTTTAGAGTTTTTTTGCAGTTTTAGCGCGTACGAAGCCGCGGGTTCAGCTAGTACATATATATGTATGTAGGCTTCGTTCGTATAAGAAGAAGTCATGTTGGATCCCTAATACTGCATGTAAAATACCGAAGAAATATGAGAATAAGTAATAATTATCTTAATATTCCTGCAAAGAAAAGAACGTACGTAAACTAGAAGTTAGATCGCTTTAAACAAATTTGATCGGAACGAGAATGTAACCCGCGACCATTGATCAACTTCATAAGCTATACAGACATCGATTATGCAAAATCAATACGAAAGTTTGTTTATATGTGTGTATGTTTGTTACTTTTTACGCTGAAACCGCTGGACAGATTTTGATGAAATTTGGTACAGTGATCGACCTGAAGTAGCACATAGGATACTGTTAGCAAAAAATTTGGCTGTATATATTATTAGAAATCCAAAATGGCACTTAAGGACGAACCCAAGCGAAGCGAGAGTAACTCGCTAGTTTGCAATATATTATTATTCAACCTGTCCCTTTGTATTAGCAGTCAGCGCTAAGGAATTCTCGATCAACGCACTGTATGAGTCACGTTTGTGGGTCATAATCGGACTGATGGCTTTAATAAATCTTATTAGATACGCAAAGTGGCTCTATAAAGGCGTAATAGACCAAGCTCTATCGAGTGTATGTTGATAGGGTTAACCTAGATCACATAATTTATTTATTAAGTATTGAGTATACATGTAAACTACATTTAAGCAAAGGTATTCCGTAACATTTTTGATGCCCTTAAACCCTCTATGCGATAAAATAAAAAAAAAATGTTCTGACAACTTCACCCTAAATATTATTACCTTAATATAGTATTCCCAACAAAATAATAATAAAGAAATATCAGCAAAATCTTCTATCTTCTGCAATCGATTAGTTATGGTAGGTTATTGAATTTATAAATATGGTTGGACGAAAATTCTTCTGCGTTAATTAAATACTTGTGCGCTTTTATTAGTAGCTTAAGTATTATATTTTCTTATGTTGTTTATACTATATTATTTGGTACTAGTAGAACCCGCGGCTTCACTCGCGCTAAAACTATAAAAAACTCTATAAAGGCAGGTTTCATATAAACTTTCATCCCCTATTTTATCCCCTTATGGCATGAATTTCGAAAAATGCTAAAACACGTATTTATTTAATTGTATTGAAGAGTTTTAATGCTAAGTTTCAAGTAATTCTGATCATAAATATTTTTTGGGTTGTATTTTATCGTGTTTTTCCGTGGGAATAAGATAATCTCCCGCACTAAAAATTAGCCTATGTCACACTCCAGCCCTCTCAATATCTCCACACAAAAAACCGTCACTCCGTTACATCACTCCGTCACTCAGTTTCGACGTGAAAGAAAGACAAACAAACAAACACACTTTTACATTTATAATATTAGTATGGATTTACGTGACCTTCTAAACATGTAGGCAACGTGAATCTATAATTTGTTTCCCAATTTTGGTTAGCAAATATGTACTTTGCAAATAAGCTCGCAAAGTATTATGATTTATGACTGTTAATGCCTAATCGCAAAGCTGTTTTAATAGTTCTGCCATATCATGCATGCGGAAAATTTGAAATGGTATAAAGTTTATTACCAAATTATCTGTACGAGTTTGTATGTAGCTTTTTAAATTATATATAGTAAATATTTAGATGCTGTAATGCGCAACTATATTTTACATAGTTTGACTGTTAATTAATTAAGTTTAATTAATTTAATTATGTTTATTAGGTATAAGGTCAATTAATACTTCTCTTTTTCTCTCCCTCTCTTAAAAATATTAGAAAAATATAGTCATTTTAAATTATTCAATAGTTTCAAACATGTATTTGAACTATATTTTCATTTATATATTATATGTATACCATATAATATTATGTATCATATATATTTAGGATTTAGGTTAAGAATATGAATTTTTTTATTATAAAACAGAAAATTTTGCTCAAAAATATAACTAAAAAACATATAATTTCAAAACACGAACTCGCCTAACAAGTTCTTTACTTGGCGTCTACCAAGTGGACTAGAAAGGCGTTCGCTGGCGCCTCTACAAAAGTGCACTCGAAATAAACAAACTAAAAAAAACAGTTTAAACTTAAACAAAGTTTAATTGGAGCTAAACAAAAGTTACTCTTTCTTAACAATTTATTATAAAACAAGTTTAAAAAGTAGCAACGAAAATATAACTTAGTTAAAAGTTTCAAAGTTTACCTCTGAAAGGTCGGAATCTCCTAGAAGTTTTTCAGTGATAGTAGGCTTCCTGTCGGCTAAGGCAGAGCCTACTAATACCACTAATAACACCACTTTAAGTCCCATTGTAATAAACTTTATTTCACTACCACTACACTCGCGTATATCGTCTAAGAAGACGCGCGGAGGGTTTCAACGCGCGGCGATAAATGCCGTACACGCGGGAGGCTACACGTTGAGTTGACGCAGTCTCTATCCTGCTCACGCACCATAGTTTTTTGTAGAGTTGGTCATCCAATTCACTGGTCATTCAAATATAACGACTGTTCAGAAGGTCGCTAACTGATTTTAAGGTTAATGTCAAATAATATACGAAAGCTTATTTTCAAAGGTTAGTGTGCATTTTCTCTATATTGTGTCCTTCATGGTTATAGAATTAGGTTTTTTAAATTACAACTTATATGATTTGTAAGCTTTTTTACTTGTAAAATATGATTCTGAGCTTTTATAACATATCAAATGGGCACAAAAGAAAATATTAATTTACACACAATTCTGTTTAAAAAATACGGGTTCCTATTGAAATAAAAAATATATTTTCAAAACAAAATAATTAATTAGGAATTGTTACATAGCACATATCATAGGTATACGTGTATATTTATTTCAAACAAAACAATCTCGTCTTTTTATATGAAAAACATAAGAAAGATCTTCGAGAATAATAGATTGGGGAAGTATTTCTTTCGAGGATAGCAATACAATCAGTTCTCATCACGTTTATCACAGCCACAATGCTATCGGCAGGTAGAAATTGGGAATGCTTTGTAAAAACAACGCGATTGTACGCGGGTGAGGGTCGTGCATCTTAAACAGGTATTTCCTATGGTACCTTGTGTCAACCGCTCTTGTTTAGTGTGTTGCTAATCCTGAATACCATGTGTTGTGTTGCTAAAAGATGCGTAGAACCTATCCTTTAAATCTCTATTATGAATCCTTCAAAGTTGCTTTACTGTATAACCTATGGTGACTTTGAACTTGTATTTGTAGTCCGACTAATGTTATAAATGCGAAAGTTTGTGAGTGATGTAGGGATATTTGTTACTCTTTTACGCAAAAACTACTGAATGGATTTTAATAAAACTATACAATAATAAAGCGTACAATACATAACGTATAAGCGACTTTTTATGCCGGAAAAATGTACAATTCCCGTGGAATAGATTCGTATTATGGATATATTTTTTTTGGAAACAGTTTTTTTATATATATTTTTTATATATATAGATAGATAAAAAATCTTTTTAATCGTGGCAATGATATATGTACATACATACGTACACATCTGAGCCAGGCGAGGATAAGTCGCTAGTAAAGACATACATTTTTAATATACAATGAGAATTACTTATTAACTTCAAAAAAGTAGGTCTCGATTCGGGTGTATGTTATGTTATATTATCTTCGAATTTAATGAATAAGCTATCTAAATCAAAGTTGGTTTTATAGGAATTTGAGTATAATTTATTTTTTGCAGAAATTTACGATATGTGAGATACTACTTTTATTTTATTTATTTATTTATTTACTTCTTTTTACACATTGTATCAATTCAATGATCACTTGTGATGATGGCCTACACCTGGCCTCACAAATTCTAAAAAGTAAAGACTTCTATAAAGGTGAGCTTATATGTTCGGTACATCGATAACACAACGGTCTTAGGTTCGATTTTGGTGATTCTTTTTTTATTTAAAGTGTATACTCGCGCGTTTGCTTCTTACGAATATGATGATCTGATACGATACGAAAATGGCGCCTTTCTCCTAATCCCATCACGATGCGAATTATTTTATTACTTTACATAAAATTACATTATATTTTCGGCGTTCAAACGCAATATTAACGGTCATTAAAAATTAAAAAAATATTACAATTAATTAAAAAAAACGACTTCTAATCTATATATATAAAAGAAAGTCGTGTTAGTTACACTATTTATAATTCAAGAACGGCTGAACCGATTTGGCTGAAACTTGGTGGGGAGGTAGCTTAGAACCAGGAGACGGACATAGGATACTTTTTAGCCCGTTCGACTGCGTTCCCGTATACAAGACTCAATTTTTATGATATTAGAATTTTTGGATTTCTCTCATTCCGGAATAGGTTAATACCTAAGTATTAAAACGTCAGAAAAATTAATGAAAAAAAAAAATTATATTGCTAATAACACTGGCTAATAACTATTTATATCTATGTAAAATGTACCTAGCGACGAACCCGAGCGAAGCGAGGGTGAGCCGCTAGTACACAAAATAAATGCAAAAAACAAACATTGCAAAGTTTAAAATTATAAAAAAATCTTTATACTTGTAATATTTTGAAAACGGGTCGCCAAATATTTTTTTTATTAGCTACAATCAATTAAATACTTGCCTAAGTATTCATTTGCATTTGTTACCCTAAAAATGAATTTTCAAGTATATATTAGTATTTCTAAGTGAGTTTTATACATGTATATTTTACTTTATAGTGATTTATTATTTAATTTACATTGATTAGAAGTAGGTCTTTTTTAAATTAATTAAAAAAAATGTAATTTCCAATTAAAACATAAGCTAACTACGATTAAATAAGATATTTATATCTAAAAGATGCTGCCATTTTTTAAAATAAATTTTAACTTAATATTTTTTTATATTTACGCAATTATATAATACTAATAAGCTTACTTTAACGCTTTACAGCTGTAATGAGCAAACATGACCACGGGAGAGACTAATGCCCGATTTCACCAACGTCGCCTAAGTTTAAGGGATCCCCTAAGCATAGTTAGGGGGCTGTTAGGGGACAGTTTCTGTTTCACCGACAGTTAGGGGTCACCTTAATTTTAAAAGGCCCCCTAAAATTAGGTGCTCGAAATATGGGCTTAAAGACGATGGTAAAACGAAATTTAATTTAGGGGCTAGTTTAGAGGACTTTTAAGCTAGGGATCCTATACCTAGGTGGTAGCTTATGGGTTGTTGGTAAAATCGGGCATAAGGCTTTAGATTCATCATGCGTAGTGTAGGCCTTGAACGAAGCAAGGTCAAATAACTAGTATATATTATATTATATTATATTATATTATATTAAATAAAATAAAAACACTATTTTTCAATCAGTGTGTCTGTATCCTGAACCAGGCGACACCCTCGGTAGTCATTAATAACTTTAAAGCCTGCAACGCTATCAATTATAAATGCATTCAGTATGACGGTCCGACGACAAATTATATGAGGCTTCATTTAAGACTATCAAGAGATAAAATAAGTGCTCGACATGCATATAGCATAAAAGTTTATGTGAAAATTTGTAAAACTTTTTATATGTACGTGAAAAAATGTGACTTTGTATCTGAAAATTACCATACCAATACAGTAAAAATATATTATATGTATATCGAAATTGTGATCTCATATTATATTCAAATTTATAGGCGAGCTACGACTGAGGGTATTACCCCAGTACATGGTTTTACGTTAGTAACAATATATCGAGATGATATTTCGGTAAGAGTTGTCCTATTTCTATGACTTATCTTCTATTTAGTTCTCAAATGAAACTGATATAATTTTTATTTAATAGACAACTATTTAATATTTATATTCTATTACCATGGCATTGAGTTAGAGTTTTGAACATTTGGTAAATATTATACATATACATATATAAAAGTCGATGTGTATATGTTCCCTATGGAGTCCAAAGCGGTTGGAGCGATTTTGATGAAATTTTTGCATTGACAAAACATTTTGTATAGTAAATATTTTTAAAACTATAACATACTAAGTATACTTCTATTACATAGCAAATATATACTATAGCATATATTCTATAGCAAACTGAAGTGGACGTCTAGATTATACATATATGAGGTACATACATATATATGACCTCACGGAAATATCAGGAGCTTAAAAGCTTAAAGATTCAAATCATAAACTGTTGGGTGTTAGTTTACCTTTTCGTGTCACTGAAATTACAAGCTAATGCAAGTCGAAAACTTTCGAGGTAACTATCCGTCATATCTATAAGAGCTGTGTAATGTAATTGAGTTAATTAAAATAAAATATATAAGAGAATTTATTTAATATTTATTAAGCTTACTTAAAAACTAGAGAGCTATTTTTATTCTCTTTATGTAATTTTCATAACTTAATTTTTTAAACATTACTTATTTTTCTGACCATGAAATCAGTATTATTTTACTATCTAATGAGTTCTGGTTTTGAACTTGGACTGAAAAAATATAAGTAAAAGATCATTAGTGTCCGTTATAGTATTATGTGTACATACATGATGGAGTTAAATATTTGTTTGTCTGGCGCTAATTGGTATGCCCGAAGTCGTGGGTTCAGTTTTTAAAGATATTATTACAATACAATCCTATTACAAAAAGTCAGTGAAGCAACTGGAAAGCGTAAGCCATGTGTAAAGTAACTGAGTGTGCCGAAAATGCTTATTAAGATCTAAGACAATTATAAAGTAAAAAGCAACAAGAAAACAAGATCAGTTAAAATCTAAGAAGCTATGATTACTTTTAAGTGAAAAGTTAAATCAACTTCAATATTACCTTAGAAGTAATTATACTTCTCTTGGGTAAAAATTTTACTTTAAATTTATAAAACCAACATTAATTTAGATATTCATCAAAACACTAAAATATACATTAAAAATAACATACACCCGAATTGAGATCTTTATTTTGAAGGTGTTTAGAAATTCTCACTGTAGATATATTAAAATTTTATGTCATTGCATGCGATTTACCCTTGCTTCGCTCGGGTGCGCCCTTAGGTGCCTATGAGTAGCCTATGTGTCACTCCAGTTACTTTATCTGTGTACACATCCAAATCTAGCCAGCCGTTTTAGCCTGAAGGAGTAAATAACGTATACATATACAAGCGTTGGCATTGGATAATAGTGTGATGTTTACCATATGAAGAAGAAAAGGTTATAAATTTAAAAAATCTTAAGATCAGAAAGAAATCTTTAAATAAATTTTAAGCTGCTTAAACTTACCCAAAATAGCTACTCATCACACAAAAGTCATGTTTAATTTTTTACAGCATATTGCCGATATT